CCCCCCCCCAACCTTTTGATGCTTCCTAGTGCTCAGGCATTCAAATTCCAGCAATAGGATAATATCTATAGTGTCACTTTTTTGGGGACACACTGTATTTGCAGGGCTGAGTAAGAATTAAACCGCCGTATCCGTCTCTGACTCCGTTTTCAGAATCTTTCTTCACTTTAAATATTAAGCTTTTCAACAATATTCAATTATATGATAGTTCTTAGTTGGAACTTTGTTCAGAAAAACGCAATTTAGTCTTTGTAATAAAATAAATGGGCTATAGATTCTTTGCACATGTCGTCACAGCGCCGGTGACGATGGATTTAGAGGACAAATTTGAAATCTATGCATAATATAACTTTTGTAAAGAAACCAAATTTTGTAAAAGTTGATAATAATTTTGTATCAAAATGGTTAATTTTTGGGCTGTATGTGGTTGCTGTACCCGAACAGATATTGTTATAGGAGCATCTGGAGGACACTCTAAGCATTTGTGACGTCAGTGCAATGGGTCTATACATGGAAACCATTTTAAAGTGTCAACACTTAGTGTAGTTTATCACTGATTTTTATCATACAAACACGAGGTGAATACCAGCCCTACAGCACAGCTACAGGGAGGGCTAGTCCCTTCATATAGGAATTGCCAATAAACTCAAAATTGAAATTCGATTGAAATTTCGAAAAACGAAAAACGGCACTAAAATTAAGTCACTTGATTGCGGTTTAAAAGTTAGTCATAATAATCACTTTAGCTCTACCTGCCTATCTATGAAAGCAATTAACATGTAGAAGTGTGCGTTTTTACGAAAACAATTACACAAATAATAATATATCGTAAACAATTGCAATGTACGAAAAAGCCATTCTTAAGTCAAAAATCTAAAACCACACACGTAAAGCTATACTGTACATTCCCTTTTTAAAGATTCATGCTCCTCTTAAAGATTCCCAGATTCCCGTTCCCCCTAGCTTTGAAGATTGCCTAAAGACACGAGAAGTATATTTCAGACCATATACCCGATTGGGTAAAACGCGGGTATGCCTTTGAAAGAGCCGAAAAGTATATTTTACACCATATCCGCATTTTACCCGATTGGGTATAACATATCTTAGAGAAAAATAGGCCTTCCGTTCGTCCGTCCGCGTATCAACGTTTTACCCTAACCCCTCACAAAACTTGTGCCGCAACATGGTGTAAAATGCATGGAGAGATTAGAAAATACTATACAACATACTTGACCTTCAAAGCAATTGGTTTTGGAGATTCCAGTTAAATCGTGGCTGCATGAACGTGGACCTTTTATACTGACAATATGTTTGATGGTTTCGCACAGTGACACGTCTCATACAGTATAACATGAAATCTTTTCTGTGGTTGTTACAATCTCTCGTACCCACAAGATTGCGGTTGTTAATTCTGTTCAGTATTGGAAAGAGGGGAACTCTCTCCAATAATTTCTCCAATTTATGCATGAATCGTAGCTATGAATTTTGCGATAATATTGTCTTAATAAAGTATACTAGCTGCAGGAACATGCATATTATCGCAAGTGTTACATAGGGCTTATCATAAAAAATCGGAGGTTTTTGTGCTTGTGCCATGTTATGTACAGTATACGTAAATTTTAACGTTCTCACGTTTGTTGAATTACGTCAAATTCCGAAATTTAATTTAAAGTAAATGCAAAAAATTAAAGTAAATGCAGTGTCTTCAATGTACAATTTCTCCCACAAATAAGCTTGTTTTCCTATTTTTTTCACAGCATACAGTAGATACGTTGCATTGCTCAAGTTCCTGCTAATTTACAGTAAAAAATACTTTAAAAGTAGCGAGAAAAGGGGTGCCAATAATCTACTTTTGAATGATTGAATACAGTTGAATGTGAGGCCGAATCTGAGGCCCAATGCGCGGTTACCTTCACAGTGGTGTTAAAATTAATGATCTTTATTTATACACATATTGAAATTTGATTACTTGTGGATGAAAATGGAGCGAATCAAGGTAAATTAATCTTGGAATTACGTGCCTGTTTTGTAGTAGCATGCTTTGCTGTACTTGTTTCAGCAATTTACGAAATAGTACGTATAGTTGAGTTAGATTTTGCTTAAACGCTTGCTGAATATATATATATTTGGTAATTTGCGCAGTGTAATTCTGTAGTCTGGCATTTAATTAAATAAACACAATTAGTAATTACTAAATTAGCACTTTATTCATCCTTGTCATTCCGACGTCGTTTGTGAGCTTGTGCCCCAATTTCCTGTATATCATTGGAAAGAACATAGCAGTACAGTTGCGTTTCGGAACAATTAAGAGAATAAAAATTTTGATCATACTGCCCCTTTAATTAGAATCTTCTTGTAATTCTTATGAAGTGTCAATAGTGTAAAATTAGTGAACACAAGCTGTATGCGTAGTAGGTAATTTGCCCGTGGTAAGCCGCGCCGAGCTTAAAAAATAATCATGTATATATATCCTAGAAAATTTAGCTGCTATGTATATATATATTTAAAGGAACTTTATAATTCACTTTCGCTCAAGAATGTGTTTATTCTACAAGGCTAGAGGTATGTTAACAAACTGTAACTAGTTCCTAATTGGTCCTATAATTATGCGTATGCAAGAAAATTATTGAAATACTATAAACCTGAAACAATGTATAAATAAAAATCATTCTATAATAAACGCAGTGAATTTCGTCAAGTTCAGGATTATTCGTTCCTTGTCAGGATTTTGGATATATCTCACTCTATATAACTAACTGTTCAAGGGATTTTGTAGCTGGAAATTGTGAAATGGAATTTTTATATATTTAAGACATAAACAGCAGTTGCAAAAAAATGCAACTATATCGGCCCTCTAGCAGGAATCGAGTCTGCAGCCCTGCGATACCGGTTCAGGACTCTAACCAACTAAGCTACAAAGAGACAGTTGCAGAACTCTAACCACAAGTTTATCTCTTCAACAATTTGGGATATCGAGTGAGATGCCCAATATCCTGATATTTCAGTGCATTTTTTAAGGAAACTTCAGTGGTGGGGCAAAACTGCCCCTCTTGTCCTCCCTCCCCCCAAGATAGTATGTGATCGCCGAAGGTGTGAGCCGAGTACCACAGGCACGAGTTAGCCAGGGGGGTCTGGAGGCATGCCCCCCCCCAGGAAATTCTTAGAATTTGGGTCTCTGAAATAGCATTTCCTACATTCTAAGAACAAAATTTAAAATAAATCTCAGCTTCTCAAAACAAAACTTTAATGGTGAAATTTGTAATAAATTGTATGTTAAACATTCAAATACAACATAAGTTTAAATATGCTCATGACCAACAAATTTTGTTTAAACTTCTTTTCAATGTTAAACTCATTTACTCAACACAGGTCCCAGGCTTTGGGGTAATGGGCCATATTTTTTTCATTGGTGGGGCAGAGGAAGGGGCCCAGTGGGGAAAATACCCCACCAATCCATGGTATTAAAAAATGCCTTGTGATATTTACCGGAGGGTATATATACATTAATTGGCAGTATTTGTCATAAACTCGTAGCTTGAGCTCGACAATTGTCTCTCTGTAACTCAGTTGGTTAGAGAATTAGACCGGAATCGCAGAGCCGGAAGCTTGATTCCTGTCAGTGAGCCGATAGTTTCATTTCTTGCAACTGCTCTTGGTTAGGTGTAATAAATGTATGAAAATTCCACTCGAAAATTTCATCTACAAATCCCTTCAACAATAAGTTCCATCGAGTGAAATGTCCAAAATCCTGATATTTTCCATATATACACCACCACATTTCCATCACCTTAGTATTTATGCATAGACTCATTTATTCTTTTACTATATCAGCTATAGCTATTTTCATGAGTCAATTGACCAACTGAATGAAAGAACGAATGAATGGCTGGATGAATGAAAGAAAAGTAGGCTACAGCGGAATTTTTATGGCAATTATTTTCACTATCTAAAATTTCGCTGGCTTCTAACAAGCTGCCGAAGGCGCTAGGAACATGGGTTCTACAGCGTCTAATAATCTGATTTTGGACACAAATGAGTCCATGAAAAATGATTATTACTCGACAATAACGTGGGCAACGGAACTAACGTGGCAGCTACGGGATTTTGAGAATTATCCAGGATATGTCGACAAAAAAAAAACGAGAATAAAATTTGTAGAACAATATCATTTATTACATGCAAGGACTAATGTTTAAAATATATTTAAAAACCCAACATATTTAGAACAGGAAAGCCAACACAGAGAGAAAATAAATATCTACCGCGGTATAGGAATGAGCAAGAATGCAGTTTTTGCCTGATTTCGTATTGAGAGATTTTTAGTAGCATTATGTAGTGTTTATTTACCTGCATGTCTAATTGATCATAGCCTAGAGTTTAAAATTAAACATTTTTTTAATAATGTCTCCTAGCTCTCATGATGTATTGTCCGACATTTCTTGCTGTTTATTAAAAATTAGTTGAAGTCGTTAACTCAGTTGGTTAGAGCACTGCATCGGAATCGCAGGGCCGCAGGTTCGATTCCTGCTAGACTACGTATATATACATACAGTTGCATTTTTCGCCGTTGTTTCTGCTTAAGTCTACTAAACATATACAAAATTTACATTCGACAATACACAACTTGCATGTTAGACAAATTTTTTATCTAGCACACAAAAAGTAAATTCCCGTTAAGAACTTATTAAAATTAGTAAAAGTGCAAAATTTGGTTGCAAAATGTCATGTAAAGCATGGAAAATATAGCCTTGCAAAGTTTGCATATTTTCAGTATATTTGTATTACTTGCGGAAATTGTTACCATTTTTGAGCCGAAAATGGTAACAATTTCCGCTCGTAATACAAATATACTGAAAATTTGCAAACTTTGCAAGGCTATATTTTCTAAGCTTTACAACATTTCGCAACCAAATTTTGCACTTTTACTAATTTCAGTATGTTCTTTTTAGCTGTTGTGTTTTATCCCCTTTTCTCCGCTTAGATTAAATTTTAGTCTAACATGCAAGTTGTCCATTCCATCTACATACCCTTGAACCCTTCAACTTGTACATGGATTACTATTTACTATATAGTCAGAGTTGGGTTACTATTGAGTCGGGTCATGTTATTATCATGCCCAGTGGCGGCGAAACAGGGGGGTTAGGGAGGCTTTAGCCCCCCCAGAAGTAAAAGTGGCCCAGAAAATTTTGTTTTTTCTGGAAAAATGTTGATAACTAAGGTAAAAGTTAGGGTATTTTTGGAAAATTTAGATATAAGTGGTAAAATTTGCAATATTTTGTTTAATTAATTTAAAAAATGTATGTCCGGAAAATTTTTGTTATATGTCCGAAAAAATGTTTTGGTTTATGTCCGAAAAAAGTGTCGACGGGGGGGGGAAGGTCACGGAAAAAAAATTTTAGCCACCCCCAAAATAAAATATGCTCCGCCGCCGCTGATTATGCCTGTATAATACTAATTTGTCAATACATGCATGCAGTGGCGGA